TTCTTCATCAGATTTATTCTGGGCACACATTGCCGATTCACTCTTAGCTTCATCCTCCTCTTCTTTTTAAGGGAAGAAATGAAAAAAAAATTGTGTCAGAAATTGTGACACTTCCTCAGTATTCATTTTTTTTTACTTAAAATAGATTTCTTCTTTCACTTTAAAGTACTGAACCTGAAGCCACACTCATATGGCTAAGCTATATTTATAAGTCACACATTTACTGAGTTTCACTCTATTGGTAAATATTATTTCTAGAGAAAATGAAATTCAAAGCTTTTTGCCTAAGTGTATTTTTCTCCCTGCATGGAGATGAAAAGGTTTTTGGGGAAAGAGCAAAGGCTGCATACAGTACTAAAATGCTCAGAAATTCTTCAGAAAAACAGTGTTGAGGAAAGGTTATGAAGCAGTAACTAAAAAGTTGTGAAAGGGGACAGCTTTTTCAGTAACAATAGTTCACTGCAGAAATATGTAAACGCGTAATTTGTACATTTTTGAAGTTAGATAAAGCAAAACACCCCAAAATGTTTGTGAATTTCTGCATGATGTAGTAAGTAAAGGACAATGAATATGGTGAAGGGTCTGGAGCACAAGTGCTGTGAGGGGCAGCTGAGGGAGCTGGGGGTGTTCAGCCTGGAGAGAAGGAGGCTCAGGGGGACCTCATCACTCTCTGCAGCTGCCTGACAGGAGGGTGCAGCCAGGTGGGGATTGGTCTCTTCTGCCAGGCAACAAGTGATGGGACCAGAAGACACAGTCTTAAGCTGCACCAGGAAGATTCAGGTTGGATGTTAGCAAGAATTTTTTCACAGAAAGGGTAATTAGACATTGGAATGACTTCCCAGGGAGGTGGTGGAGTCACTGTCCCTGGAGGTGTTTAAGGAAGGACTGGACATGGCACTCAGTGCCGTGGTCTGCTTGACTTGGTGGTGTTCAGCCACAGGTTGAACTTGGTGATTCAGAGGTCTTTTCCAACTTAATTGATTCTGTGAAGTGGGCAGGGGGAGGGAGGCTATTTAAAGTAATATACCTTCTGGTGTGCAGTGGTATTGTCTCTTCAGATACACTTAGCTTAAAAATACAACTTAAAAATATAATTTAACCTGTAGGTCTGTTTGGAGACTTCTTTAAAGGCAAAGAGTATAGGAAGAAAGGTACTATAAAAAAAATCAGAGCTTTCTGCCCTCTCTGTGTAAAACAGCTATAGGAGCTTCACTTGGACATCAATATGGTTCACAACCATAATTTTGTTTTGTGTAATGACTGGATAATGCTCAGAGCAAGTTAAGACTATGTCAAAAGCTTTTCTTTCCTGACTGGGCCCTTGGTACCAAAAGGGGTATGAGCAGTATTGACAAGTGTAGTACTTTAACTCATTGGGCACATCTGGATTTTTCAGACAGTTCTATGTGCATTTTCTGTCTGGATTAAGGACCTCCTTCCCCTCCAATGATCAAGGTGCTACTGCTTGTCACATGCCACCTAATTCCTGAGCATTCTTGTCCCATTTGTGCTGTGAAACAGGCACTTTAAGATTTTCTCTAGGGTGACTTAAGTAATGAAACCATCACATGTGAATACAAACCAACTGAGGTGCATCTACAATAGTTCCTCATGCATGAGAAGCTGAAGCAGAAGTCTCTGGGTTATCAAAACATGCTTGCTAACGTGTTTTCTGAATATAATTATTACTGAAAAAACCCCAAAATCCAACATACACTAACCTAAAGGCATGCCAGAAAATCTAATCCCAAGTGTTTGTGTTTTGGTTTATTCTCACAGCACCAGTCACAACAAAATCTACCATCTGGCTATTATTATAAAGCAAATAACATGGGTGTACTTGATCTCCTAATTAATAGAAGTATACACATAGCTAAAGAGAAACATTTTATAAAAATGATACTTTTCTTCACATACTGTATTGACAAGAAACATTACCTGTAGAGTCTTTGACATGTGGTTTGTAGCCATATTTCTGGAACAGCTCTCTTATTTTTCCAAGATCTGCTGCATTTCTTTGCATCAAGATTTCACTTGCCTTCATAAATTCATGAACTGCTTTTTTTTCAGAGCAGATCTTACCAAGACTGGCACTAATATCTTCCTTTGGGGACAGAGAAGGAAACAAAGAAATACTGGTTTTCAAATCATCACATGGTAGTGTACACATGAAGCATTTTGGGAGTAAGTATTCAACTGCAATTCAGATGAAGATAAGCAGTGAATTCAGGTCTTTTCTATACCTGAAAACCATCAGGTATATATACCTACAGAACACCAGGAATACACAGAGCCCAAGTGTATGGAATCTTATAAAAGTAACTGTGATGACAGTTCACAGTGTGATAACTGCTTACTGGTAACCTTGCCAAGGAATTATATGCTTCTACTCCAGAAAAATATGAGGTAACAGCAATTAGTCTGGACTCTTACTCCATATATACAAACAATAAGTGCAGAGCAGAAGGTAAATCTTACTTTTAGATCACTCAATTATTTCTATATTGCTCATTTCTATAACCCATTTTTTCGGCTTCTGTATAAGAAATAGACAACATTATTCACAAGTTTAACTGAATGGCTGAAGGTACTGAAACTTCTGTGAAGATTGATTTTATTCTAAAGGCTGGTCATGGAAAACAAGCAAGCTTCTCTTTTGTTGGGAGCTGTTCTTCCTGGATCATTCTCCTCATACCTTGGCACTGCTCCAACTTCCTTGTAACCTTTGTTCCCTGCTTACCTGAGTGACAGCAGTGACTGCAAACTGAGAAACATTGCTAAACCTTCTTCGGGTCACCCACAAGTTTTTGGGCATTACCCCGATATCCATGGCCATTAAAAGGACTTAGATGTAAGTGAGTAAAAATAAGGGTTATAAGTACTGACTAACAAAGTTGAATTGTGGCTTAATGACCAAAACAGAACCATAAGTTTATGGAACATGCACACACATGTAATTTCTCAAGAAGGAAGCAAGTTGTTACCTTCTGAGTCTTGATTTCTCCACTGAGGTCATGCAGGACTGTGAGCGGAGATTCATCTTCATAGTCTTTGAGATGAATGTTCACATAAAAGAGTTTAGAAAATAAAAGAGGTGTCTTAGTGTTTTAGCATGAAAGTAACATTCTACAAGGCAATTTCCTGCACTAGCAGATGAGCTGTCAATGTGCACTCACTGGCACTGAGCTGTGAATGGCCATGAGCTGTCAGTGTGCTCCCACAGCCCAGAGAGCCAAACGTGTCCTGGGCTGCATCCAGTGTGGGCAGCAGGGCCAGGGAGGGGATTCTGCCCCTCTGCTCTGCTCAGAGCCACCTGCAGGGCTGCATCAGCTCTGGGGCACCAGCACAGGGAGGACAGGGACCTGCTGGAGTTGGTACAGAGGAGGGACACCAGGATGATCAGAGGGATGGATCTCTCAGCCTTCCCTCTCCTGCAAGGAAAGGGCGAGAGAATTGGGATTGTTCAGCCTGAAAGAGAGACTTCTTCAGGATGAACTAATTGCAGCCTTACAGTACCTGAAGGGAGCTCACAACAAAGAGGACTTTTTTTACAAAGGCATGTAGTGACAGGACAAGGGGGAATGGATTCAAACTAAGAGAGAGAAGATTCAGATTAGATATTAGGAGAAGTTCTTTGCTGTGAGAATGCTGAGGCTCTGGAACAGGTTGCCCAGAGAAGCTGTGGAGGCCCCATCTCTGGAAGTGTCGATGCTCAGGCTGGATGGGGCTCTGAGCAACTTGGTCTAGTGGAAGGTGTCCCTGCCCATGGCAGGGGGCTGGAATGAGGTGATCTTTAAGGTTCATCCCAACTCAAACCATTCTGTGTTTCTATAATTTTAGAGATGTTGGACTCATAACCTAGAGAGAGTCAATACAGACAAAACTAAAGAGAACTAGTTCCTGTCAGGCACTTCACACAGCAAAAAACGGCACTTTGTACAGCGTGTTAAACTCCACAGAGAAACTGCCCAGGCTTTCACCTTAATGTTGCAGCTAATACTGTATGTAACAGATACTGATAAAGCAAGTGGGTCCCCGGGCTGTCAAGAATTACTTGTATTAAAATTTTATCCCTAAAGAGGTTAGATGAAATCGGAAAAAAAGTGATATAGAGACCAGTGAAAAACAAATCTCAGCAGAAAATTGAATTCCTCCATTGTATTTACACGTGGGCAGATGCACTGCTCACTTACACAACGCAATTTTTTTTTATTGAAAGCAAGGCTAATGCAAGTAGTGTAAAGGAGGGCACCCGCTACGTGACAAGACATAACACAGAGATAAACACAATTAGAAGCCTGAACTATCTGTCCAGAGAGAGAACACGCCCCGCAAAAGTCTTCCTATATCGATCCACGAAAAGAAGTAGAATCAAGAACATGACTCTCATTTCATCCCATTCCTCCTGGTTTTCTCCGTGATAAAAAAACGCAGCCACACACCCACAAAGGAGCTCAGCGAGACAACGAGACGAGGAGGAGCCCAAACAATTCCCAGCCGAGCAATTCCCAGGCTGACCTCCGGGCCCACGGCCGGCGCTCCCAGAGGAGCACGGGGGCAGTGGCAGGCGGGAGCGCGAATCCCGCAAGGAGGAGCGGCTGGGAACCCCTCAGGCCCAGCGTGCGGGCTGCTCTTACCGGCGTCCTCCCGGCGCATGGCCCGCTCCAGCTGCTCCACCTCCTTCTCCACCGTGACGGCCAGCTCCCGCAGCTTGTCGAAGAAGCCCCCGATCACATCCATGGCTGCGGGCGGGGGAAGCGGAGCGCGGGGGAAGCGGGAGCGGGGCGGCCCCGAGCGAAGCCGAACCCAACCGGGCCGGTCAGGGCCACGCGCGCCGCTGAGGGGCTTCAAACTGCCGCCAACGCGAGCCCCATTGGCTCCGCTGGGCCCCGCCCGCCGCCGCCGCCTCTCGCGAGAGCCGCTCCCCGCCCGCCCGCCCGCCGCCATCTTGGCTCCTCCGCGGGGCCGCCGCTGCCGGATCTTCCCGGTGAGTAAGGCCGGGAGGGGAGCTGGGGACTGGGGCAGCCGTGCCCGCGCTGATCCCCGCGGCTTCGCTTCAAATCGGGCCAGAGAGTGGGACTCCGGCATACAGCTGCACCGTGGGAACGGGGTGGGTTGGCTTCTGTTAGCGGCAGCGCTGGTTTGTGCCGTGCTAGAGGTGCGTGGGTGACTGACTTGGTCACGGCTGACAGGGTTCGTGGAGGGTTTGGAGAGCTCTGAGGTACATGGTGTGGTTCCTGGGGATGTCGGGGGCAGGGCCGGTTGGACTCGATCATCCTTGTGGGTCCCTTCCAACTCCGCGTGTTCTGTGATTCCATAAAGCTGATGAAATCCCGTGTGGCGTGAAACGTGGGCATTAGCGGGTGTGGGACTAATGAGCAGCTTAACAAAGCGTTTGTGTAAAGTTTGAACGTCATTCGGCCTTTCCTGCCCCTTGCACCCTGCGTGCTGTGGCAGGGTCTGTCGGTGCTTTCCGCTTACGACACTTGGTCTAATTCAGGATACAGATTTCCCTCGGTCAGGATCCGAGACTAGGTCATTACATACTAATAAGCTTATGGAGAGACTGTAGTCCAAAACCTCATGCTGAGTAAAGGCCTGATTTGGATCGAGAAGACAGAGCTGGAAATACTGTTTTGACAACTATTTGAAGAAGGCATGAGCGAAGTGAATCTTTCACTCTTGAGTATCTGTGACTGGATTTTTCTTAAATAATGTATGGAGGGTATGCTTTAATTGCAGTGTAAAAATAACTGAATAAATTCTTAAGTTACATAGATTTTAATTTCCCTTTTCTGCTTCTGAAGTTTCCAGTCTATCTGGCCTTGTGCTGCCTGCTGTGTGTGATGGTTACCAGGCTCTGAGCCTGAACCTTCAAACCAGCCAGCTAAAAGGCAGTGGAGTGAGTGCAGAGCTTTTAATCTTCCTTGTCAAAGTTGTATTTTTCTCCATAAGGTAATAAGTGTTTATTTTATATTTCTGTTTATGTTTTAAGGCAAAATGTTTTTAACAACAGTGTTACTGCGGAAGAGAATTCCTGGAAAACAATGGATTGGGAAGTACAGGCGACCAAGACAGGTTACCATTTCCATGAAGCAAGCAATGATCCGAAGGTTGGAAATTGAAGCAGAGAATGAATATTGGCTCAGCCAGCCTTACCTGACACAGGAACAGGAATACAAACACAACACGGAAGAGAGACGTGCCAAGTGGGAAGCTTTCAAAAGCCTGAAACAAGCCAAGTTTCCTGAGCACAGATACATCAGCGATCATTTAAACCACTTAAATGTGACAAAGAAGTGGACATGTTGAGTAACACAGCATATTTATATTTGGCACATGTTGTGCACTGCCCTGGCATCTGCTCTCATACCTGTTATGGTATTTCACTGTAATTAGCATGGGTCACAAATAAGATGTTGCTGTGGTGTACAAATACTACATTAAAAGTATTCCTCTGGAACAGCCTATGTTTTATTATTATTGCTTTGTTGGAGAAGTTCTTTGCATGCCTCTGTACCATCTGCCCACCCTCTGGTCTTCAGGGCTTAAATAGCAAGTTACCAGGTGCAGTGGTGGCGATTTACAGATAACCTAGTTTAGCTCCAGTTATCTATAACCTAGCTAGCTTCAGTGATTGCCTTCTGAAAGCCTGGAGAACACTCCTGCTGTGTTGAGAGGGTGCTGCTGGTACTGGCCACGTGGCTTGGGCTGGTCACTCTCCCTTCCTCAGGGATTGTTCTGTGTACACCAGGTACTTGAGACACGACTGTAACACTTGCCATCAGGTATGCAAGGACCAAGGGGAACTAGAACTGCAGAGACAAGGGGATGAGGCTGGAATTCATGGAATGTTATAAAATGTTCCATTTTTAAAAAAACTTTCTGGAAAGAATTGTTGATCTTAACTGCCAGTGTCATTGTCATGTCAGTGTCAGCTTGGCTGTTACAGCTCTCTTACACAGATTGTTCCTGATCTAAAAGGAACATGGCTGATTCCTGTTTGAGCAGTTGACTTCTAAGTCAGGCTTAGAAGTGGAGGAATAAGATTTAGCCACAAGTCAGGCTTTTTATTTCCCCACAAGACCCAGTGACCTGGAAGATGTGTCAGGAGTGAGTGTAATCTTAGGTTTGTTGCAGCTGGAGTGTAAAAACCAGAGCGATGGTGCAGTGTTGCCCTGGTAGGCAGTTTTTCTCAGTGATCTAATAACACAGATGCTACAGCTGAGCACTTTTCAGATTCTTTCACATACTTTTATTAAGTTGATGTTGCATTCACTGATGAATTCAAGTGCCAAGTCCATTCATATAACTTTGGAAAAGAGGCTTAAAATGGTACTTTTTTATTAAACATTAATTATACTTCAGAGAAGTATGAACAGGTCTGAACACTGATGTACAAAATCTTGAATGCACTTCCATTGGTTATAAATGGCTTAAGAGAACTTTATGGAAAAGTATACATATGGGGAAATTGCAAATACAATTAAAACATGAAGGAACTTCCAGGCAAAGCAATGTGATTTTGTATTTATTCATTTATAAAAGCCCGTTTCAAAAAGTTACTTCAAGTATTAAACTATAAATGGCAGCGTTTTCTCTGTGCATAGGATGAGTCCTATCTGTAACATACAAAAAAATACAATAAGTGCATCATTGTTACAGGTATCTTTTACACATCCCAAACTTAAATGCAGCTCATTCCAAGTTTAGGCAGCGCAATTAAAAATAACTTTGTGGAAGCAGAATAGCTGAGACATTGTGATTAGTGCAAATGTTGATGACCCTTGCTGACAAATACAAAAAGAATGCAGAGATAAGAGGGATGTTTCATTCATCTAAGTTAAAAATGGAACAGACTTAACAGGAGGAATGCTGCCTCTCTCTGGGATAACTTCATGATTGTAAATCATCATTCAGGAAGATTTAAGTTTCCCACAATAAAGCTGATAACAGGATAAGGGACAGGAGGAATCCCAGAGGACCATGCTAAGCGTCTTTAAGATGTCAGCTAAGCAGTGTAAACGGAAGGGAATCAGCATGTCACTCTCAATGCTTTGGTGACAAAGTAATCCAAATTCTTCATCTCTGACACATCTGCTTGACTGCTGAGCATGAGCTCTCTGTTTCTGAGGACAGGGTGTAGGAAGAAAGATGGGGAAAGCTCCCAAAACCAAAGCAAGTGATCCTGTAAACATTATCAGACTTCACTACCTCATGGAAACAAATTCAAGTAATGGCTTCAGAAAACAAATGGCCAAACACCGGTTTTAATCCGCATTAAAACAAACTACTTGTAGCTTCATGATATTTCACAAGTTACATAATTAAGAAAAATGTGTATAAAAAGCTCTATATACAAAATAAATTGATAGAAATGAGTGTAACAAATGTGTTCAGTACTAAATCCCTTCACGTGCAGCTGCTCTCTTTGGTGCCACTTAGGGATAGAAGAGCCTCTGAAGCTGCACACATTGCTGTTTTTTAGGTACTGTGAAAAGACATGTTTGTGAGCTAAAAGTAACTGCTCTTTGGAACCTCTCTAAATGCACACCCAAATCCCCCAGTCAGACACAATTTTAGAGGGTGTCCTTGGAGAACATACACCAGAAACTCAAAGCTGTTGTGGTTTTGTCGTTATTTAACTTTTAAATAAAAATCTGGTCAGTTGGTGCTCCAGATCCAGGCAGATTTGGTCAATCTGTGTTGGAGCCAGCACATCTTGGTAAATCTGCCAGACATTAATACTGCTGCAAACACTGCAGTTTTCCTCCTCTTGGGGCTCTGCTTAGCTACAACTGGACCATACTCCAGTCAGATCATGAAGTCTTTGTGTGCATCCTCAGTGGTATTGAAATTCGTCCCAACCCAAAAAAATGATTTATAATTAATAAAGAAGAACCACACAAGACCAAAGGAAAGAAACAGTACCTGAAAACTGTGAGTATTCAGCACTCTGGAGAACAGGACCAGTGTGTAAGAACAGCATACCAAGAGTAGCTTGGTACTTGCAAATTCCACACTCAAGAGGCAGCTTTAACAAAAATATTACCATGATTTCCACTTAAATCACTAAAAATAGAAGTACCCAAGCTTCCTCTAAAGTAACACTCAGATTATTTAAAATGGAGGTTTTTAATCACATCTGACTTATATCAATACAGTCTCAATACTGTAGGAAGTCAATTAATGTCAAATCAATTAATACTCCTCTTCCTGCCTTCCTCCCATAATACGCCTTTGGTAGGCACAGCAATGATGTGTGTGTTGCACACTCTGTGAGTAAATAACAGTCAGAAAAAAACAGTATTGTGTAGTTTTAAGTAATTTCTATTTGTGGATTTTCCTGCCTCATATTCAAAGGGACAGGTTTTTTCGAGACATTTCAGAAAAATGAAATCCTCCCCTGCATCAGGCTTCTGTTTTCACACTGTGAATTTAAAGCCATTTAAAAAATTTTTTTGAGTGTATGTAGATTTTTTTCAAAGAGAAAAGCAGAAAGAAACAAGCAAGCAGTTTCTAATCACAGCCAATATCAACTACCCTACAATAACTACTACATATTGCTTGTAGTAGTCATTACTTTACTGGATCTAAAAGCTTAAGGGCTGCATTTCTAATGGCAACTTAGGTATTTTCAAGACTCCCTGATACAGAGTAGGCTAAAGCACAAAACCAGCGTTTACAATACAGCCCAACACCCTAAACAGTTGTTTTCTCAGGATCCATCCCCCTTCTGATCTCCTGACCATGAGCCAAAAGTACCCCCTTCCTGCAGCCCCTGCCTCTGCTAGCAGGGACACACATATGGCTGCTTGCAGCCCAGCAGCCAAAGAACCACCCTGCTCCCTCATGGACTTCTGGCACGGCACAGCCCAGCCTAGGGAGCACTCAGCACAGAATCCAAAGGCAGAGGATGTCATCCTGGCTGCCTTAGCCATGATACCTCCCCCAAAGGCCAGGCCTGCCAGGAAAACCTAACCCCTCCATCCCACTGGCTGGCATGCCCTTAGGGTTCAGCAGTACAACTCCCTTAGAGAACTTAATTCCTTTAAATCAGTCTGGGGTTTCTCTTAGTCCCCAGTTCCCCAGGCAAAAAAACCCAAAAGGAGTTGGGGGTGGTGAATGCAGGAGAATCATCTTTCAATCATTTGACTACATTTTGTATTTGTGAGAGTGACTTTCAGTAATACCTGCTTTTATACCAACAGTAACTCTGGCCTCAGGATTATCCTAAACCCACTGCTCTCCTCTTCTTACCTCAAATATGAGGAAAAATCTGGGACAAAATATTCCTGTGATCTGCATAAATACTTAGAATTGTCAGTTCTTCATGAAAAGCCACAAAAATGTCCAGATACACAAAGAAGTGGTTTCAGAAGAGCAGCACTTGCTAGAAAATGCACATGGAGATAGCACAGTTTGTTTACTTGCAGTTTTTCCTGTAGATTCACTATCCTGACTAAAGAAATCAAACAAGTTCTCCTGATGTTGGCCTACAGGATACATACATTCATGGCAGGGGCATATGAAGCACTTTGGGGAGCAGGTGGGGGCAGCAAAGACCATATTGCCGAGTTCAGTGATACTTAGGATTCTGACATACATTTTGCTTATACTTCTGCTAGATGATGCCTGTGCATGGATGTATTATTTCCGCTATAATACATGGATGCAGTAAAAGCCAGATGAAATCCCAGGCCCTCCATGACAGTTCCACCAGTGTTTGGGGCTGCAAATTTTGGTGTTCAGAACAAGCCATTTGAAGATGCAGTCTTCCTTCTCTGTTATCTTCCCCAAGAAATTTTGCTGGTGCGATACTGCTGAGAGCTTATGTTAACATGGGCACTTCTCACTTAACATTTGAGAAGAAAAAGCAAAACCTTTCAGATCAATGTGTAGCAAATGCTTTTGTAAGTTTTGGAATTAGCAAATGCAAAATTTCTTGTACAAAGTTTGAAGAAACATTCTGCAACTTTTATAAAACATGCAACTTTGGACCATTGTTTCTGTCTCAAGAATATCCAACAGTGAAATCATAAGTTCTCAAAGAGTTCTTGTTCCAGAAGATTAATATTTAAGAAAAATTTATTATATCCAAAGACAAAAAATACTTATTTTAAACCTTACAGTATACTAGATACCTTAGTATTTCCATCATAAACATATTTAACTCAAGTAGCAATCAGTCTGGGAGACAAACCAAACAGGTTTTCTTTTGGACTAGATCATCAATTTGACTACTACCTTCAGTCTGTATCAAAAGGGCTCATGTCTCTTTGTAATCAGCAGCAGCTGAACATCAGAAATCTTACAGACAGAAAAATAATATTTGCCACTTTTTCCAGGTGCAAAATTCCAATACCACTGAAAGATGAGTTAGCCGTCTTCTCTGTAGAGAAGTGAGGAAAAAAAGCCCCCATGTTGTTTGCTGTAGGTCTTGAGCCAAGAATGGGATGGACTTGATTCCTCACACAGGAAACACATTTTGCCTTTTGTAAGCAGGTACATTGCTGCACAAAGCCATCAGTCTTTAGCAATTTCAGCATCACTTAAACTGGACTTGAAAGTGGGAGACTAAAGGATGCAATTTTTCAGTGTGCTAACACATATCTATGATCTAACACTAATCTTAAGTACCTGATATTTGTATTTCAGAACCAATAAAACCTTGGGCCTTTATTAAAAAGATAAAACAAAAGTATAAAACAGTATTTATAAACCATCAAGAGTCCCATGGAAAAAGCAGTACTCTGCTGGTTCTGTCTCTAGAAACACACAACTGCAATATGATTTTTCTCAGGGGTACTTGACCGTTTTGTTGCTGCCTTACACAGAACACAGCAAACAGTAACAGAAAATGTAAGAACTGTTAATTCCTTTTTGGACTGTCTTTTCCTTGTATGCTGACTGACAATTGCTGGAAAGTAATAATCCATCTTTTTTTCAACTAAAACCCAAGTTTTCTTCTTTGAGCTCTGTCCTTGGTATAGTTAAATAAATCAAGTTAAAATTATGAGGAAGCTCAATCTTATAGCAAAAAAGCAACACCCAAGTTAAAGGCTTTTATGTTGTTGGCATTGCCTAGCTCCAAAGCACAGCTAGTAGAAGGAAACCTCAGTCCCAAAAGACTTGGAGAGCTGTGATCATGGGGTAGACTGGTTAATAGGAAGAGAGGAGAAGACATCATCCAGTCCCTTCCCCAACATCTGGCATCTGAACTATGTATACTCCCACTTCAGACTTGCTGACCATGCTCTAGTCTGATTTTCTTTTTCTTCCTTTTCCTTTTTTCTTTCCTTCTGTACTCTGGAGACCTGCTATGGAAGTGACTTCTGCAGTGCCTAAGGTATGAAGTTTGCCCGTGAGGAGGTAAGAGTCTCTGCAATCTACCCCCACCACTGCAGCATAAAAGAAATGCATAGTTCCCACTCTGGACCTTGTGCATCCAAGCAGGGCACTTCTGGATCTGGCCCTTTGGTAGCAGTATATAATTCAGTGTTGCATAAATGCACATTAAGAATCTTAAGGCATCTGTCTTAACTTCCCTGCTCTGCAATAGTGCTTACAAGAATCCATTGTACTGTGCAGAAACTTGAATTTCTTGTCTCTTCCTAAAATGTTCATGTTCCATTTTTTCCTGCTCAACTTCTTCCAAACAAAATTAAGTAATATTCAAGCTCAAAATGGGTTGCAGAAACCTAGTGAAACAAAAAAAGGTAATTAATAGAATTATCCAATTAGCTTTGAACAAACAAATCATAGTGCATTACACAAATGCACCTGGGTAATATGATTTACAGACTTCTGATTAAGGCAAGTAGTTAAAGCAATTGTAGCTCAGAAATAGCCTTCTGGGAGGGTGTGAGTTTTTATTTCATACTTCTTATGTTTGGGAAGTTTATCAGTGCTAAGAACATAAATCCATCACCACTGATCTGCATCTAAAGTATTCTGGATCCCTGACTGGCAATTCAATTTTTGAATTAAACTGATAGATGTGAGGACACAAATGGTATTTGCCTAGGTGAAGCTGGGGGACTGGCCTTCTTCTGCAAATCAAGCTCTGTACACCAGAATCAGCCATGACTTTGCTTCTCCTGTGTGTTATGGGCCCAAAATTCCAAAATACAACTATTGCCTTGTTACAGGGATTTATGGAAGTGCATTGAACAGATCCTGGATCTCACAGCTACTGTGTAGTTGCTTAGAAATGCAGGACTGGAATGAACCATCTTGGCCTAAACTGTGATCAAATCCCACTGAACTCAGAATGGTTCAAACATTGTGTTACTGAGTTAATTTAAGGTAACACATACCCAAATGCTTTTGCATTGGGTGCAATTATGCACTGTTATTTATACAATTTTTAAAACTAGTGTAGTTTGGGCAAATATAACACAAAGTACAAATTCTTCCTTTATTAATCTGGCCTCATTTTAGGAAGAGAGGGAGGATAGAAAAGAAATTAATCTCAAACTATTACCAATTAATTGTCTAGCTTAAAACAGTCACCTATGCTCCCTCTCTAGGTCAGTGGAAAGAAAGATTAGGACCTTTCTGTAATACCCTATCAAAGGCTGCTGGGATGAGCTGCTCTCAGAAACTTCTATTCTGCTCCATGAAGAACAGAAAAGCCTTCGTGACCTATTTAGATCAGATTAGGTTTTATATAGCTGGAGGCTGAAAGGAACCCCTTGCTTGGGATATTCTTTAGCACATTTATATAACATTAGGAAAAGTTGGAAAGGGGAAACTTACCATTGGTGAGTTCTCATGGTTGAGTAGGTTTTTCAGAAGTTGCGACTAACTAGTCTAATCTTGGTTTTGTATGAGTTTACACTGAGCACTCTGACCAACATGAGGCCAAGCATCACACCATCACCCACAAAGGCCTTGTAGAAAGATTTTTTTTTTCCTTAAAAAAAAACCAACTCCCTCCCAAAACTATAATTTTAGGTCAGAAGGCTCCTTAAAAAAATAAAAGGAAAGGAAACAATAGTAATCCTAAAATTACTGAGCTTACCAAATTCAAATGTAGTGTTTTATTTCTGATAAAAATGTGAATTACTTGCAAAAACATCACCTCCACCACAAAAACCACAACAACCAAAAGAAAAAAAAAAAAAGAGGCAATAATGACTCAGCTATAGCTTTTACAGCTGTTAGTTGACCAAATAAGATTTGTTTGTCTTCCAGACAGAAAAACTTAATGGTAACTTATAAGCTCACCACAGTAGAAAGCCAACATAAATGAAGTCTAATTTAGTCATTGGAAATACACCAAAAGAACTTTCATATATGCACCAGAAGGTGCTGTATTTCCTATATGCAAAGCGCACACAGGGCACTTTAATGCAAGAAACATTCCAGAAGATCACTGTCAATTCCAAATGTGACAGAGCAGTCTGTATGCAGAGACCTGTATTCACTTACTGATCTTCCTTCCTCAGGCACATGCAGCTTCCTAAAGAGCAGAACATGGCCCACCAATATATGACTAAGAAAAAGACATTTAAGGAGCTCTTCCTCAAGACAGCGTTTCATCTCAGAATTGCATTTAGCGTCAGATTCTTTTCCTTGGTCAGGTAACAAATCCAGCACTACCCACTTTAATCTGAATTACAGGATTAGTCTGACTCATCCCAGGCCTAGCCAACCCATGTTTCCTGCATTACAGCATTACTGCCATTCTTGTCTTCTCAACAGCCACTCTGAATTTTGTTTATACTTTGTTATTACCCATCCGACATCAGAGGACTCTTCTGCATTCCGTGACTAGTTGATTTTTGATTTTGAGATGTCAACTTTATTCATACATGTACAGAAATAGCAATCAATTATGTTAGTCTTACCTGTTTCTCATTGAGATGGTTGGTTAGTAATTAGCTGAGATCAACTTTCCAATGAAACTATAATATGCTTTTTTGCACCTAGAATGTGAGAGAATCTCAATTATGTGTTTTTGCAGATCTGCATAACAAATAGCAAAGATTTCAAACCAGAAAGCACATTGACCATGTTGTGCCTACTTTTACAAAAATATTTTCCTCCCCCTTACCAAACATAAAAGATCCTAAATCTCAGAACTGAAGTGCAAAAGTGGAATTATTTATCCATATACCATCCACTACCATAACAGAAATAATTTTGGAGCAGAACATGAGATGCAAGTTAGCCTTAATTCTAAACATCCTGACTCTATTCCATGGAACACATTTTCTTCTATATCACTCCAGCCAATTCCTAAGGACTTTCTAGGTGTCAAAAATTAAAAAAAAAAAAAAAAAAAAAAAGGAAAAGTGAACCACAAACAAAACCACTACCTGATTTCACATTTTCCTCTTCAGGGCCAGTTTCCACCCACTGACAATCACCAGATAGCAACCGATTTTGTGATTCACTGAGTGGTCGAGTGGTGACAGAGCTGAAAAGTAAGCAAAGTCAACAGGAATTCTGTAATACCAGTAGCAGCATCAGACATTCCTAGAATAGTGAAGTTATTTAAAAGCAAAGTGAATAACAAAAAATCCTACAGTGCCAACTGGAAATGGCTGCCTGCCCCCAGCCCTAATTCCTCTGCAGGCTTGTTCCAGTCATCAGTCTAAAATAAACCCCTACCTGACACAGACCACTCACTTCTAATGGAAAAAACCCACAGACTGAGACACAAGAAATGACACCCTGACAATAACACTGCCACATAGCTAAAAAGAAAAACTATGCAGTTCCATCTGGAAGAGCAGCCAAATGCTATTTTATCCCATGCAAATGCCAGGCCCTTCTTCTGAACAATCTTCTGAATGTAAAAGGATACTTTGCTGTTTGCACAAGGGTCCTGTTCTTGTGTAAATTCCACGGGTTATGTTGCACTGGAAGTAACTTCTCTGTATTGCCTTTGAATCCTCTAATGCCTGGTAACTCAGGTTACTGCTGTTGGCAACAACCTTCAGCTTACAAATTCATTAAACTATGCAGAAGACTTCTGAGGTGGCAAATGTAAACAGAAACTGCATACAGAGACTCTTGTCACTTTGAAAATACATTGAAGATACAAAACATGCAAATTTGAGAAGGATAAAAAGTAATGAGCTAAAAATCCCGGCATGAGAGATCTACTTCTCTTGCAAAACGTCTCAGCATTACTTGCTTAAGCATGCTTGAGGAGATGAAATACAAATAATACCTTGTCTTTCAGAAAAAAAAACCCAAACCAAGCAAGTAAACATTTTTTTTTCCAATGGACAATTATTCAGTCTTCCCAAGGACTTTTTTGATTGTTGCTAAGAGCCAGTAAGCTCTCTTACTTTCTTTATTACTTCTTCCTTAGAGTCTTATGTTACAACAAACCAAGACATAGTCAAGTTTTCAGTCTTAATCTTCGCTGAAGACTTACAAACTTACTCTGAAGTGACAAGAAGCATAAAGAATTCAAAAACTAACTTTGAAACTTTTTTCTCTAGATAAGTATGAAACAGTACAAAATCAGTATTTAAGTGCTATAGCTACCTTTTGGCAGGTTCATTTTGGCTTGAGACTGCAAGTTGTTCTGGATCCATAATCACCAAACGAGTTGGGAAAGTACATCCATCTCCCAAACTAAATGAGAAACAAAGACTCAAATCACTGTTGGTAGCTGACTTAAGTGAACTGAACAAGGACCAAAGGAAGAGGCAAAGGCTACAGGGTCAAATCAATTAGCTGAGCACAGTGCTGAACTCCAGACTTTAGCAAGGCAGTTCTACCACTAAATTAGAAGATCAGTTAATTAAATCTTGGAGCTCAATTGATTCCCACTCTATCACTGAGTATGGATTGCTGTGCACAAGCACAAGTGTGTGGATTTCAGAAACACAGATGTATTTCAGTAGACTGTAGCCCTACTCTTCCCCCAAACCAGCATGCACACATGGCAAGACTCTCTGATATTTACAACCTCAGAAGCTGTATAATAAATAACATTCTGGTGGCCATGCTTTCCCTTTCACTCATAATTTTGAAATTAGCTAAGCCTTCTTTTAAAGTTTATCAGGATAAAATGGGGTAGCAAAACACATCGAGCCATCTACCGTGGAGCTTACGTCTTTAAATCGGTAGTTGAGCAAACAGCTGAGTCAACTTAAGCTGCTGGTATAGCATAACCTCTGCAGTTTGATACCAAGACCTCAGCTTCACAAACAGGTTCAGTAACATTTTTATCTGATACACAGACCCCCAAGAGCAGTGTTGAAACACAGTTCCTACTCCATTCTGCGGAAATCTGGTAGTGGTTGGAGTGTACAGCACATCAGCCTTGCTTCATAAGGCTTGTCTGCAACTCCCTAATGCTGGCTCAGCTGACATTTTAATTCCAGCATTTTTAATCATATCAGATTTTTCCACTCCTGTTTCTTATTTACATGCAATTTCTTAGATGGCTTTTGAATCCTAAAGTGTCATCTACAGCAAAAGGAAAGCTGTCAAGCTTTTCCAGGGCCAAGAGAGGGTGTTTTTAAGCTGATGTTGTTAGGATGCAGCTGTTTGAGCTCCTCTGAGTTGCTGATTTCTGCTCTATAATCACTGAGACTACCATCAAAAGGTGTACAATTTTTGCAATATGCTTCTCAAAGCTTTTCAAACTTCTGCATTTAAAAGGCTCTTGTCAACAAGCTCTGTCTTTGAATGAAAATCCTGTGTGGAGTTTGATCGTTTTCTCTTGCACATTTTCCCTGCACCAGTATTTATTGTACTGGATATACAAGTTGGCTTTTCAGCTGTGCTTTATTTTTTAGTAGAAAAGGAATCACGGTGGAAGTCATGGAATCAATTAATTCCCTAATTCATTACTGTTCAGACTGAATACCTGGTAAAGATAGGAAGTAACCAATACTTCTTTTCATCTCCAAAAACCTCCCTTAGATTTTTGCTGCATCCAAGAGAAAAGCCATTTTTATCAGGACCATTTCGAAATGTGGGTGCACGGAATGTTTCTGTAAAATAAAAACATGCAATTCTTTAAACCACTAAGGAGTCAGGGAGCATGAAGAAACAAACCCAAACTTCTCTGCTGTGGAGCCAGTTTTGGGCAAGGTGAGGTGTTCTTGATGTATATGTTATGGGGGGGGGGGAATTTAAAAAATCTCAAGTAATCAGAGGGAAAAAAATATCACAGAGTTGGTGAAAAATGAGAAAATCAGGTAAGGAGGACAGTAGGACAGTCACCTTGTCAACTTTCTCTCTTTACATTTAACAAAGTCTGAGATAAAGCTAAGTACCATCAGCATGCCAAAGATACCCACATACATCCCTTATTCCTTGGTGACTTGCTCTCTCTTCAGCCTTCTTTGAGCAGACAACTTTCTCTTTTAGGAGTAATTTACCATAAGCACTGCTGGACCTAAGCCCATACAAAAGAGGTTTTTCCACATCTGCCAAATTAGGAAGCTGAATTAACAGCATCCCGTGCTATCAGTGGAAGATGAAATCTATTACATTAGAAACAGACACACCATGAACTATAGCAAGCCACCACCATTTTTGTACTCAGTCCAGTTATGCCCTTGACCAAGAACTGAGAGGAATCATTGCTCCCCCTCCATACCAATATCTTGTCTTTTAAGATCATGATACAGAAAGCAGATAAAGAACTGTGTGGCCAATTATGACCACTGACTTTTGGGTAAGGAATATGTTGAAGTTTTCTTCAAAGCTAAAAAGAAACTGTGAATATTCCTTACCTGTAGATATGTCAAAGAAAAATAATTCAAATAACACTCCTATCAACCAATCAAGAAATTCTAATGAAAAAATTCTAGTCAAAAATTATTTTACTTTTAATCAACTCACTTATTTTTGAGGTTAGAAATTTAAATTCCAATGAAAGATATAAGATTTTGACTTACTCAGTTGTAGAAATACTCATCAGTCTCTGTCCCCCCACACACTGCAAAAACCACTCTCAAGTGTTTCCTAGCAAGAACTTCAAATACTTTAATTAAATGCACATAGCTTGTTTGTGCTGATCAATGCATGATCAATTTAAAATGTTTAGGCATAAAAATATGGGAATCTCTTATTATCTAGGAAATGTGCATCAGTGTTTTCACTTTTATCACACTCTTACAAGCCACTTCCTAATAATAATGTTGGTTTTTTTTGACAGGATTTAAGAATATTTGTTTGCATCTAGTTCAAAATGTAGTACATGTTCATGTACAGCAGAGCCTCTGACTTGGTAGGGGATACCCAGCTACTCTAAGTATCAGAGCAACAGAGTGATGAGTAGCAATTGGGTTACATCACACTTTAAATTCACAACAAAAATGCATGGTGCCACAGAGGTCTCAAAAATACAAACAAAAGAAATGAACAGTCATCATGAATCTGAATGCTTGGCTCCAGCAGAGGATCCCCCACAGGCTTCACCTTCCCTTTTGTTTCACCTTTAATTACTTCCACTAAATATGCTTTTTATTGCACAATATTGAAAAAAATCAATATGAATATATGTGATGACATATCACGTAGGCCCCACATTCTCATTGAATTGTCATTTTTCTGGACCAGGAAAAGTTTCATATCCCAATGGACTGACCTATAGTTGATCTGTTTTTGCCAACTAGCCAGCAGTGGTAGCTGAAGAGTGACAGAATGCTGATGAAGAACATGGCTGCCACAAAGAAAAGGAACAGTACGTGGAACTTTGCATGGGTATCTGGCAATTCATTCTGGGGAGAAAGAGAGAAAGAGATTAATATGTTAACACTTCCCAGCAACTAAGGCACTATTGTTGCTGAACATTTCCTGCCACACCCAGACTGCTATAGGTCTTTCACCTCAGTTTTCACCAAGAAAGAAAAGCAGCAGCTTTTCCTTTCACGTCATGTTAAACTGGAAAAGGACAGCATTTAAATCTCATGGGTACCCCTTCCCCCAGTTTAGTACTGTGAGTGCACTTGTTCATCCATGCTTTTCAAATGCATAGTAGGGGGCAAGGCAAAACATTTTCTATACCAGAAAATCTTAACTGTGCAGCCACAGACAAAGAGACATGGGGAAAATATGTCCAAAGCCACCTCCTCTGAAGGGGAAAAAAGTGCAATTCCTGCCACAAGGTAGTAATAATATGTATCTAATTCCCAGCTGGTATAATGAACATAAAAGGTAAATGGCTGTCATGAACAAGTCCTAAACAAGACATGGGATAGATCTTCAATTTTTGATCACCTCTAATGTTTAAGCAACAACAAGCATGTACCTAGCAAAACAAATTTGCCACGTCTGACCAGGTAGAAGTGAATCACCAGAAATCTATGTGGAAAACAACAATTTCAGTATAACCACCATAAAGAAAACAATTCCCACCCATATGAGATTGTCAATTCCACCCCAAACTATTTTCAGACTTTCAAAAGGCCAATGGGATTTGTAATAATACTATTCCAGCTCCATATCCTCAAAATCACAGCACTTTCAAGCAGCTGACCTTTAACAACATTATGAAAGCAGAGAGGCTATTTTTACTCAGCTATTTACTTAGCATTACTGCCACTACTTTTTTCCATTAGTGCATTCAGTACACCCATTTATCTACGGCTGACTTTCTTTTTTAAGCTAAAGCACATTTCAATTAAGATCAAGTGCACACAGGTATATCCATTTCCCTGTACATGGCTTATATATTTACAGACAACAGATTACTAGTCTCCTTCCTTCTGTGATGATGTGAATACCTGCCATGAATGACTGGACTAGAAAAATTGTAGTAGGAACCACATTTAAACATTGACAGCAATATTGTATTTTACCTTTGGACAATTCTCTGCAGCTTTCCTGCGGCAAAGCTTTGCGCAAAGAAAGACAATTTATTAAACACTAGTATTATGTTAAGACAGGGTGTTTGAAAACAGCACAGGCTTTGCTAAGAACAAAATGGTCGGTGTGCAAATGTGCTCTTGGATGTGCCAATTTCCAAAGCACATCAGCAGCTTTAGCCCCTGTTCTCCAAGAAAATGAAGAAGTATGCAAGAGCCCACTACTAACTTCCAAGGCATGAAATCTTCTACTGAAGCATAGATGTACTGGAATTCAGATTGTGACTGGATCACTTTCAAGTGGTTGCTCAGCTTGGTCAGCATGACTACACCAATTTCCTTCTTTGCTAGTTGTTTCCATCACAAATAAGAGTTATGTGAATATTCTGTATGATGAAACCATTCACAAAGGTGTGAAAAGCTCAGAATACTCCTGAGGTATCAAGTAATGGTTTATTAATTAAAAATCTTTCTTACTTCAGAATATATCCATTACCATTAGACATAGTTTCAGCCAAAACCATAAAAAATAAATTGCCATTCTTTGCACAATTTTCTTCATTTAAAAGAGATCAGATAACAAATCAGTACAGTTTTTCTTCTTCCTAATTTTCTTCAATACAGAGCAGTTTGTAGGATGTATCTTTAGTATAACACCTGAAATTGAACCAGTGCTTGAGAAAACAAAGGAAGAAACAGGAAAGCTGGGTTCAAATTAGCTTTTAAATTCTAAACTTTATACCTAAAGAGTGGTATCTTGGCTAAGATGCCAACACTTAACTGATCTGTTGTAGGTAAGATGTATGGCTTTTAAATTCCATTAATATGTGCAAAAAGCTTAGGGAGAGCCCAAGCATCTACATTAGAGTCAGGCAGATATACACAGCATTTTCCAAAGTGCTGGCTGCCATCAGATAATTCTACAGTAAGCAAATGACAGCAGAGTGCAGCTCTCTAAACTGCCATTTAAGTTCAGCTTCCTTTTTACTGGCCATTTTGTTACTTATTTACTGACAATTCGTGCAACAGTCCTCTTCCACCTGCAGTGATCCACTGAAATACAGCCTAGCAAAATACTCCAGTTGCTGCCTATTCCTAAGCTTCAAGTTGAAGCAAGAGTAACTCTTTCTACCTCAGAGCACACTGCAGTGTTCCCCAGCTGCCCAACTGATTTTTGTAACTTGAATTCCTATGACTCTTTAAAAATTACATATTTAAACAAAATAATTCTCTACAAGGAATTCTCAGGAGCTTATTCTGATGCTAAAAGAGCAGCAGCAGCTTAGTCTTCGTGTGTTCTGTGGGTCAGAAAATCTAGGTTTATTTCACTTGCATCTTCCTAAACCAGCAGCTCTAAAACCTGGAGGATTTTTTGAATTATGCACGAATAATCTGCATGATCCCCAGGGAGCATTTACCTCTTCTGACTACCCAGCTTCAGCCACTGGTTGTAACTTCCTGAATGAGAGTTGCAGAACTGAAGCATCTTTCAAAAAAGGCCAATTCTTTACTGGAGAGAAGCATGCAGACTTTGAGTGTGTATAACAAGCTTATTCACAGTGGTGTTCCAGCAGCAGTCCACATGCCCCCCTCATGTGAAAAGAGAGTGAAACTTCAGACATTGGTTATTTAAGATCGTTAGGCTCAGCAGCAGCACAGGAGCAGGTGAGAGCTGCAGAGTTTACAAAAGGAAGCAATTTGCACAACACAGTCTGAACTATTTAGCACACAATAGGCTGAAGCCAGTCACTATTCAAGAGTCCGCTACAAACTCTTTCACAAAGTCATTTGATTGGTATCAGGTCATAAGACCCCTCAAACAAAAAAGTGCTGTCTGAGCTTGATTTGTTCCTCATTTTTCAGTAGATGGGTCTAGCTTAATCTTTGAAAAAAACATCTGGTCTACATCCTTAGTATAGGCAGAAGGAATGAGTTCTAACTAATGATGTGGAACCACTCCTTTTTTTTAACCCCCCTATTATTAATACAACCAAAGTTTTGCAGAATCATGTGCTATCCACCCAGGACATGTATCGCATCCTTTATTTAGCTATACTCAGGATTGAAAATTAATCTGGAGGACAGTGAAAGACACTGCAAATGACTGGAAAACATAATGGTTTCAAGGAGGTGGCAGTGCAGCAAGAATAGGAGTAGACACAAATATAAGCTGGGAAGCACCACCATGCACTGTGTAAACAAGGCATCAAGCACTGGGCGTCCAGCCAGTGCTGGTGTTTGTGTCAAAGACATTTGGTTAAACTGGCATTTTATCTTTAACAACCTCTGAGGTAGAAATAAAAATGTCATGAATATAGAAAAAGCAGTTATGAGTATAAATAAAGAAATCAGTAACATTCCCTTATCTACAAAACAGATTTTAACATCAGCATCAGGGTGCAAGCCTGTGGTAAACATTTCCAGCCAGCGTAGTTGTTCCAGTATTGTATGCACAGAATCAAGACCTTTCTTCAGCACTTCTGCACAGAGCATGAAATGTGCTGTGTAAAAGTCTTGCACGTGCAAGTGAGAAATACAAAGGTTTTCTTCCAAAGAAGAATTTGGTAGGTGTGCATGTCTCACAATGTTCCAAGTATCTGCGTAGGAGCAGCATGTCTCTATGCAAGTATTATCAACAGTGCAAAACAATGGATTGCTACATTTGTGTACTTAGCACATACACCTCCACAACCTCATAACAACTTCTTCCCCCAGGCTACATTCCCCAAGAACAGCCCATACTTTTTCCAACACTGGATGTATCCAGCACTTTGTTGCACAGTTTCTGAAAAACATCTGTGAGGAAGCAAAAAATAAGCACTGCCTTCTGAAGGTAAATTGTAACATTTCCTGTAGTCAAGCTTTGGGAGGAAACAACAACCTTGATTTGCTCAGTTTTAGAGCATGGTGCTAATAACACCAAGCTTGTGGGTTTTTAATTCCCATATGGGCAGTTTACTGAAGAGTTGGATTCGATGATCCTTGAGGGTCCCTTCCAATTCAAAATATTCACTGGTTCTGTGCATCTAGACAGCCTTGACAGAAAATGTCCAAACAGCAATCTGTCTGATGCTGTAGCAGACAAAGCTGAGGATTAGCAATATACTGAAGCAATCTACAGACAGCATGTGTCAGCAGCATTCTGCTTTGGTTTGCATACAGATGTACAGAGAACCTTCCAAGAGAGCACTTGCCTAAAAGCTTATGTACAAGAGACATACAAAAATTTGCAATGATTATGGAGCTGCCACCTCTTTCTGGAAATATACTTTAATAAGTCAGTTATAAGCTCAGAAGTGTCTTAGCTTTGTGAAGTGGGTGACTTAATATGAGTAGTGAGTCAGAGACCTATTCTGCTGATAAGATCAGGGCATTGCCAGATTCAGTACAGGAAGTATCCGGAATTGAAAGCAAGTACACAATTATATTGTCTATTGTTACATTTCAGAAGTACTCCATTCTTGCAGGAAACATTTTTAACAACTGAATCAATAATAAAAAAAATCATCCCTCTTAAGTTTACTTCCTCTGCTTGAGAGTCCACTTCACCATTGTGTCCGATGAGCTTTGGAAGAGTCCTGCTGCAAATGTTGATATTAAATATTTGTTCATTGTAGGCAGTTGTCCTATGGCCTTTTTTGTTGCACTAACAACTATAAAGTAATGTAGCAAAGCAAATTCTTTTCTCTTTTCTTTGCTCTAGCACTGACTGGTAAATATGTGAGACCACATCTACAGCTTCCTTAGAAATTGCATACAAAGCACTGGAAAGCAGCCAGGCAGATGTTTGGAAATGGCACATTCACAGATTGAAAATTTAACTATTTTACGGCCAAGCAAGACTGAACAGCGGAATCAGACCATTTAATTTGAAATATCTTTTAAGACCCAGCTATGACTGCTAAACACATTTATGGCTTTCATCTCACAGTACTGACAGCTCATTTCCCACATGGCTCATTGCTCTCCAGTGACAGGCTGCTATACAGAAGTCACAGGTTAAGAGGAACACAGTACTTTGGCATATCAGACCCACAAGTTTAGATGAACACAAACTTCTTTGCACAGTTTATCTTAACTAATGCCAACTGTCTCAAAGTACAGCTATTTTGAATACATGATCAAGCCTCTCTTACCCTGACATGGCAGCAACCTTTTGTTCCAATAAAGCAAATATCAGTATCTACCGCTGCAGATAATTCCTACTTTTTCCCAGTTACTCTGACAGCAGCCAGCATTTAAGAAATATGTGGTATTATTTACCCAAAGATGTGATTGAGACCCTTCCACTTGCGGTAACTTTTCGCATGCTCATTAATGGAAATGGATTAAGGGAATTATGCCACTAACACTTCAGCCTAGAGACAGGAAGGCACACTACAAGTTTTTCTAGATGAAAGGGAACAACTACAGAAGGCACTGTGTTCAGCCTGGATGTGACTGGAACAAAACTGATAGGTGCAATATAACACTGACATACAAGGATGGTTGCCTTCACATAAATGTTATTAAACATACTAAGATGGATGTATGTGTATTACCCATTTGACAACCCATAACAGTTGCAAGGAAGATGTATAGCATTAATACTGTACATATCCCAGCATTCTACTCATACCAGACCATAAAAGCCACTAAAATGAAGTTCAAACATGCCTATGTAGGGACTCCAAAACAAAGCTCAGATAGTTCCCAACAAATTAATCTGCCTTAGTTGGCAGCAGATTATCCATAGATAAGTCTGGGAAGATACAAAATTGTTATTTATATTTCATATTTGTCAGTATTTATTATATACACACATATATATAGATATAATCATACATATACATAATTGTTTGATAGGGTCTGTTCCTTCTTTACCTACATAGCTGTATCTCATAGTCTCATAAAAACCTGAGCTGTGCCACTCAATTTTGATGGAGCAGAGAAATTGCAGTGTCCTCATCAAAAGTCCTTCACCCAGTTACTCATCCCGGGCAGCGTAATACATTTACTTCATCAAAATTCATAAGGTTCTCCTGCTTCAGTCACTTTGATTGATGCCATTAATGATAGCGAACCACAGAACAGAGTAAATGGTGAGTGACAACATGCTGATGCAGCCTTCAATAACACATGCAGGATTAAACAAATGAACAAAAACCAAAAAAAGCCTTAGAACTTACTGTCCAAAACTTTATGAAGTACTGCAAGACTGTAGCAGCAACAAACAAACAGTACAGTAAGGAATACATTAAAAACAGGAGGAAGAATTTGTAGTTAGAAAATCCCACACAATTATTCACCCTAGAAGGAGGGGAAAGAGAAAAAAGTTACTAAGGTATACAAAAATTAAAACAAACAAAAAACCCACAATACATTGCAGAGCAAAATGTGTATGATGTCAGTGGTATGTCCAAAACACTCCAGCACCAGTGTTTCAGAATCAATTTAAGCCACTATTTTGAAGGAAATTTCTCAGGCTGAATGATCTGGGCCTCTCACATCAATTTTGCCCCCCGTGATTCTGTAGGACAGGACATGAGCTGGCAAAGCATTACAATACAGACAGTCCATACAGGAAGCAATTCCCAGTACAAACTAACTGCAGGGCACCACAGAAAGTAACAGGAACCTCACCATCAACTTCAGTGCATCTGCTGGGTTACAAAACCACCTCTAAGTCAACTACTGGTAGCAATGCTCTTCACAGTGATAGCAGATAATATTTTTACTGACTACCAGCGAACACAAACTGCAGAAGAGTCTGAGTGCGTCATACACATCACCTAAAATCCAGAAATTACTCTCCCATTGCAGTGGTATCTCCTCTCCTGCTGACACCAACAGAGTAAACAAAAGAAAAAAATGGATTTTCTCACAGGTCTCGTTAATGTCAAGGTTTCTCTATATGAGGAGAAACTGCATGATTTGGACTACTGGGATTACAACTTTAACACTGCATCACACATTTATTCCCATATATTAAAGAACTTCTGTGGAAATCAAGGTTTACTCCAGAAGTTCATTTTTGAAGCAGCATCTAATTAATCATTCTAATACTGATTTTTAAAAAAATAAACTTACCATGGACAGTGGTGGTCCATTTTTAATACACATCTGAAAGAGAAAATTTCCAGCAAGTTAAGACAAAAAATAAGTTTTCTTTCCAAGACACGTAACTTTAGCTTCTACAGTTTTGGGTGTTGTCTTTTATTGATTGATTTTTTTCAAGTATTTTGCCCTACTGTATCTTTTTCAAGCCCTTCTCAAGCATACAAATTCTCTATATTAGAGCAGCTGTTCTTTTACCCAAAAGAACTGATTGAAATTCAGAAGAGTTATGAGGAGAGTTTCTTAAATTAGCATGAGGAGTATTACTGAGCAACACCATGCAGCAGTTCATTAAGCCACACCAGTTTTATGTGTGTGCAGAAAAAACAAATCCAAAGGGTCTGTCAGGGTTGTGTGGATAAGGTGTGTTAGCCTGGCATTCACTTCAACTAAGTCTACCTTAGGGTTATTTTTTCCACCATTTTGTTTGCTGCTTGTCTTTTTTTTTTTTTTTTTAAGTTAATGGAGGAAAAGATCAGCACAAAGGGCAATTTGAATAGTTCACAAGCCACTTTAATCCAATTTTAAAGTAAACACAGTTACTGGACATTTCAGACACAGAGACATTCATTGTATTTGCTAACAAATTTGATTTTAGCCAAAAGATGTGTATTAGGTTCTTCAGTTAACGAGATTTCCTCAAGCTCAGCCTACTGAAGTCTCATGCATAGCCTCAGCCTTCAGTGCCTGTGCAGACTCCTCAGATGATTCACAATGAAAACAGGGGATAGCAATGATGTTTTTGAAATGTTAAAGGCATGTGACTCTACTGCCAATTTTTGAGATAAACATTTTTAGCAGAACACATCTGTTTCAAAGCTACAGAAACAAGATACAATGAAACAGTTGAATAATAAGCTTCAGCTGGTGCTAGTATCTCAGACCTACCTTTCTTTACTTCCAATCCATATGATTTTTTATTTGTTAATTAATCTATTTTTTAATATAAGCTTTGTTTTACAAAGCTACAAGCAGTTTTCCTAAAAAGTTCTGCCACTTTAGACAATAGGGCTGTACCATAATATTGCACCAACAGAAGGAACTGACCCACTGAAGACATGAACACACTAAAGAGATGATTGCAGGAAAGAGAAAATCTGTAATTCCAGATTCAGACACTTACACGTCACAGGCAGAACAGTGGTGGCAGCGGTCAGGTTTGATCAGCTGGCATCGATCACAGTATCTGATTGCTGTATTTAAGTGCAAGGGTCAGGTCAGTAGAATTCATCTCATTTTATGAAAGCTTTCCCCCTTAACATGAACTGAATCTTAAAAGAGCTTCCTGCCCTCCCCTGCCACACATGTTCTCGCAGAATGTCACACACCTTATCTCATATCATATGCAGTTTTGATTTTTTAAGGAATGTAACATATTAAAGTATTCAAAAGTACCTCTTACTACTCTACTGATTCCATTTTCATTTACTCTTTGACTCCCAAGTCTTCCTGTCCTTCATCCTTTGGCACTGATCCCCTTTTCACCTCTGCACAGGGTACTAAGGCATCTCATTGTGAAACTACATTCTTTCAGCAAGTCAGCCTTCTGCACTGGCTTTCACCATCCACTTCACCAAACAATGATCTAGGAGAGTGTTCAGTAAGTCAGTTCTATCTCATCTTTCCTGGATATCTTTAAACAGACCTTCAGGTTTTTCTCAATGGAAATAAGACACCAGCACAGGCAGTTTGAAAGCAGGAGGAAAGCCAACGTGTACAGCTAAACAGAACTGATAAGAGCTAGCAACAGCTTCCCAGACCACTCCAGGAACTTAAGACTGGGACTCTCTTATATGGAGGCCTGTATTTAAAAGAGCCAGGTGTCCTTAGACTTTCTTTGGAAAAGTCACAGTAAACTTCAGCAATGGTTATTCTGAGAAGTTTATATTTTTGGAAACTCTACAGGGTTGTTAGTTTCAAGAAAGAGAAAAAGATAAATGCCCATATAAAAGCTACAGATTTTTAAAGAACGTACATATACATAAGACAGCACTTTCACAGCTCATTCATCTATAAATTGGAATAAAATGCCTACATATATTAAAAGCAAATCCAGAAACAGTTCATAGCTAGATTTGTACTGAATTGCAGATGAGAATGAAACAATACTTATTTGTTTTTAAATTGCAAAAGCCTGTTAAGATCTTAAGTATATTTCTCCTCACACTGAATCAAAACAGCTCAAAAAGAAAAAGAAAAAATTTAAGTGAGGATAAAAGTGATTATAAAATTGAACAACACATTTGATTTTCCCTTTTTCAAGCTATCTTAGCTATATTTGTTTGCTGTGTTTATTTTTAATTGCCACAGCTGGAGATAACTGCTATCATCTCTCTTCCTGCTAGAAGATATTTTTCTTCTTTAATTTCAAGTAATGGCTTTATGTTGAGAACCCCAGAAAAAGGCCTGCTCTTTCTCTCAGAGGGATTAAACACTAGGACAAACAAAGAACAAAACATCATGGCTTTTGCAATATGTGCTTAATAAATTATTGATTCAATGGCAACAAATGAATAAACAGCAACTTGAAGAGCATAGAATTATCTTTATATCTCACCTCTCGATGCTGTTGTCGTATAGATAGGCAAGTCTTTGGCAGCTCTTCTTAAAATCTCCTGCTGGATTTCTGGTCTCGTTTCTTTTTCATATTGTTCTTTATCAAGTTTTGTCAAGCAGAACTAAGAAGGATGTAGAAAATGGATAGGATGGGAAAGATTAACTATTTCTTTGTTTTCCAGGAAAAGACCCTTTGGATGTTCCCATCCACTGACCCAAAAGCACCATGTAAACAAAAAAAAGAATGCTGCAGGAATTACAGGGGATCTTTAGAACTCCTAAGTTTCTGGATGTATTCTGGATGTATTTAATTTCTGGATGTATTTTCAAGAAAATAATCTTTATCTCTGTTCCATTATCTATAGTATTTTCTCTCCAACACAAGGGAACACAGAGACTCAGAGTGAGTTTTAAGGTACAAGCCTTCCTTTAATTCATGGTAAGCATAATTTAAGCAAACTGTGAACAAGAGGAAGGTGCAACAGTCCTTTGCTGCTACAAGGCACTGAAGTTCTCTTACCCCACTTCCTCTCTAACATACAGAGGGGTACAAACCAGATGGAGGGAAAAAAAGGCAGGCAGGGGGTGTGGTGAGCTTCACAGCCCCACACAGAAGCTGGAAGAGTTTAACTGGATTTTTAACTCAGGAGTAGTCAACACTAGTCTCAAAATTCTTAAGTTGTAGTGAAAGCACCTTAAGCAAAGCCTGTACAGTTTGGGAGTGTCCTACAATTCTGAGTAAAGCCTAGCAAGCATTCCTGTTGAAACATCACTGAAATGTAAGCCTTTACCAGAAAATCCTGGAGAGTTTTTACTCATCTGTGAAACACTTAGTTTGGTATCCGCTGAAACAGTATTTCCCAGTAAGCCCCACAAAACCCAGCGTGCTGACGAGGCTCTGTGCAGTGGGGGCTGAAATGACGATTTTCTTTGGTATTTTTCTGTTCCAAAGCACTTCTAAACTCTGAGCTTCCTGCATGGACTACAAGAGCTCTCTTTATGAGCACACATAGACAAAGCATTCATGGTAGAGAGTGGAAAATGCTATGTGTGCAGCTGGAACAAAAACTGGCTTAGTGTGGTTTAGTATGATCGTATTTTCCTACCAAAAACATGTGCATGATTAGTTCACATGGATTCTCCTCTCATCCTGTACTTTTTCCTCTTTTGGATTACAGTCAGCTGGCAAGCAACAATGAAGACTCCACTTACAGCAAGGAGGAAGCAGTAAGACATTGCTGCAATTTCTCTGTGCTATTTCCTAACACAGAATGCAAGCAAGATGCCTCACAGCTCACAGAATCTAGTTAAGCCTCCTGTCACATGTAGCACCATCCCAGTTATTGCGCCTACACACCCTTCGAGGGTGAAACATGAAACATGTCTAAATAATACCCTTTTAAATAACCAGACACTAGAACTAATCTATGTAAAGGGTGAAATTAAAGTTTAACATTTCAGCCATCACTAAGAGTTTGACCTAATTATTTAAATTTAACCACTCAGATCGATATTTATTCAAGCATGAAAACTGGAGACGCTCACATCAAAAGTTTAAGGCAGATGTGAAGCATCATTCCAGCAAACAGTAGTGCAATACACCTTAGGCGACCCAGGTATCCATGACCTGCAATCAAGCAGAGGTTGCAGGAAAAATGAGCACCCCCTCTAGATGACATTTCAAGGCAAACCATTAGTGCATAGAAAAGGAAAACAATAAAAATATTTAAAGCTTTTTAAATTTGTCCATGTAACATCATTGTATTACTCTAAAAATCCTGGATAGGATTTTGGTTTTCCAAAAAGCTGCATTTCTCTTCTAATTTCAGAACTTAATAGGGCTAAGAGACCACAGTCTCTCAGGACAATAGCAGGATATGTTCAAAGGCATCCAAAGTTGTCTGTTACCACACAGCAAACAGAATTCCCAATGAGGTTCCAGCAGTTCTTATTGAAAACAGAAAGAATCCCTTTGTTTCCTTCCTCTTTCTGGATCTTGTATAATGCTGATTGTTCTTTCTTAGGACAAATGCACAGGGATTACACTAAGACAACAGCAGCTGCAGAATCTTTTTTTTAGTTCAATAGTAAGATCACAGGATGCTATTTGTTTTGCAAGAATAGCCAATTTGAATGATTAAAACTATATACATTTACACTCTCACACAATGGAGACATACTGAAGTCATGGTTGTTTTTAAGTATAAACAGCATAAATTACTCACTAGTACATGAACAGAAGGGATTTGCCCAGAAACAGAAAAGGTGGTGCTGGGCTTTAAATTCGGTTGATTTTTTGCTTTTTAAAATTTTTTTGAGTGTGGTTTTCTGTTGTTCTGGTGGGATAGGTTTTTTGAGGTTTTTTTGTCCTTTTTCATTTAAACCTAGCTGTAGAAGAAAATTTTATTAAATCTGATCTCTCTCCACAGTAAATATACAAAAAATTCATTACGTGCCATATGCCCAAGCCATTCCTTTTGCTTGCTGAATACAAAAAGCCTGCTACATCATCACTGTAACTACAGGAAAAGTATTGTCAGAATAAGTTTGCTATTAATGAAGAATTCAAGAAGACGGTAAAAGTTACTAGGCATTAGCATTAAAAGGAGCTCTAGTTCATATAGCTTTATAAAACCTTATAGAATAACATCATTTCAACTACGTTCTAACTAGTTAACCTGCTTAACTCAACCATTTTCCTGCAAAACCACTGCAGAAAAAGCAAAACCAAATTACCCTGAAGACAAGCCCCTTTGAATTTTTAGGTTTACCAATTCATAGACTCATGTAGGTTGGAAAACATCTAAGGTCATCAAGCCCAGCCTTAAACCTAGCACTGCCAAGTCCACCACTAAACCACATCCCCAAATGCCACATCTATAAATGTTTTAAAACCTCCAGGGATGGGGATACAACCACTCCTCTGGGCAGCCTGTTCCAGTGATTGTGACAACAAGTGAAGAAATTCTTCCTAATATCTGATCTAGACCTCCCCGGTGCAATTTGAGTCCATTTCCTCTTGTCCTGTCACTTGTTACCTGGGAGAAGAGGCTGACCCCACCTGGCTACACTCTCCTTTCAGATAGTTACAGACAGCAGGAAGGTCCCCCCAAGCCTCATTTTCTCCAGGCTGAACACCCCCAGCTCCCTCAGCTGCTCCTCACAGGATTTGTACTCCAGACCAACAGCTTGTGCTCCATCTTCAACAGCTGCATTTAGACTTTCTGCTTAGCTAAACAGCAGAATAGTGTTTAGCTTTTACACTTCATATTCTACAGCTTTAACACACAGATCTCTAAGCTATAATTAAGCACTACAGAGCAGTGTTGCTTTTTCTTCAAAACATGGGAATAACTTGTCTCAAGAATGTTTAAGGTTGACAGTAGCACTGAATGTCAGTCTTGCTGAAAACAGAATAAAAATTCAACCTCCACAGAGCAACCAACACCTCAAACAGTTTAGACAGTTTAAAAGCTTTGTAAAAACAAGGAAGAGAAGTGCAATATTTTAAATTCAGTGCCTGTATTTAATCCTTACATACACACACATTAGAGAAAATGGAAAACAAGGTAATCCATCTCAGGCTTATTGGAATTAATACAGTTCTTTTTCAAAACAAAACTTCATCATGCATTCTTTCACTATTATATAAAGCTTCTTTATGTAGTCACATCTCAGTGCTCCTAAACCTTAACCCATTGACTAATAAGTGGGTTCAGTCCTCCAGGTCATAAGTATACATTGCATTGTTACCCTTTCTTATTCAAACAACAGTTAAAACTGCCTAAAAAGGAAACATAAAAATGTTGTCACTGTACTTCATTTATCATTTTTAAAAATTCCAAGTTTCAAGCAAGTCACTTCATAGCATAGCACTGTACAAGACTGCCAAACTTGTGATGATTTAAACACACATTTTGTATAAGGAAATGTCATTACACAAAACATATGGTATTTTAAGATTAACTTGATCATTTTCATTCATGATACACTGTCATGCTGTTCTATTTTAGACAATGAGAAGGCAAAGGTGAATCATGCAGTACTGCAAACAAATTTCATCACTGAAAACAGTTCAGCTATTTATAAAAAAGGCATTGACATTTTCATAACATTATACTTACCTCATTAGAGGGGGTTGCAGGAGATGTGAAAATTGTCTTCCCATAGGACCATACAAACATGACAAATGACAGATGAAAAACTACAAGGTAGACAACTGCAATAAAATACAAATCAGAATTTGGTGAATATAGCTGAAAAGAACAACAAAAAAAAACCAACCCTGATCTTTGAGGAGGGCTAAGCAACTACACTTAGCACTCTAGAACTGCTCACTTAAAAATTAGATGAACACCTATCCTCCCTCCCCAAATGTTATAGCTGCTCTTCCTCAAGGAAATAATGTTTTTATTATAGATTACAAAGTGACCTTGAATGCTTCCAGGGATGGAGCATCCACAACTTCTCTGGGCAACCTTTGCTGCTGCCACAATAAAGAACTTCTTTCTAATACCTAATTTATACCTGCCCTCTTTCAGTTTGAAATCATTCTCCCCTTGTCCTATTATTCCGTGTCCCTGTTACAAGTCTCTCCCCAGGACTCCTGTAGTCCCCCCTGCAGGTACTGGAAGGTGCTATTAGGTCTCCCTGGAGACTTCTCCAGGATATTAAGCCCCAGCTCCCTTAGGCTGTCTTCAGCTGGACAGATGCTTCATTCCTCTGATCATCTTTGTAGCCTCCTCTGTACCAACTCCAGCAGGTCCCTGTCCTCCCTGTGCTGGTGCCCCAGAGCTGATGCAGCCCTGCAGGTGGGCTCTGAGCAGAGCAGAGGGGCAGAATCCCCTCCCTGGCCCTGCTGCCCACTCTGCTTTGGATGCAGCCCAGGACACCACTGGCTTTCAGGGCTGTGAGCTCATGCTGCTGAGCCATGTAGGGCTTCTCATCAACTAACACCTCCATGTCTTTCTCCCCAGATTGGATTGCTTCTCAATCTAGTCTCTGCCCAGCCTGTACTTGTGCTTGGGATTGTCCTGACTCATGTGCAGGACCTTGCTGAACTTTCCAAAGTAGATTTTGAAGGAGAAAACAAATCGACAAAACCCACCCCCCCAAAAACCAACCAAACAAAATTCACCACCAAAAATAAGGGCCCCACAAAACAAAACCACATCCTTCCCCCAAACAAAAAACCAACAAAAAAACCCCCAAACCCCAGAACTGAACACAGCCTCACAGCCTCACTTCTGGCATGTAAGTGACTAACCTTTCTGGATAAAGATGATGCAGTAATTCTGTTCTAGATTATCAGAAAGTAATTGATTGTTTACTGACCTACGTAATTCCATTTAATTTCTACTTCTAACAGAAACAGCACAGTACTGTGCCATTACAGAAGGCACTGGTCATGAATGACAGTTAAAATCCCCAAACAGGGTTTGGAGAGTACTGCACTCGAGTCATGCCAGATGTGAGTTAAAGATTTTCTTGCTATCTTTCAAATCATCTGAGAAATACAAACTGGAAAAGTCCTATTACACACAGTGGCAATAAAATGCAGCCGGGTTTAGGAGGCAGCTCAATAAATTTTCTAATGAGTATGCATGATATCACTGTCTTAAAGACCAGAAATGCAGACCTTATGACCCAGGAAGCTCCTTCCAATCTTGTTTCCTCTAATGGTTTCTTTTATCACTTGTCAAGATGAAACAGATCAGTTGTGCCAGAACAGCAAGTCTTAGAGAAGTCATATTAAATATTTATATTATCTTCAGTTGCAATCAAAGTAGGAAATTTGACCTACTTTTCTGTACAGATAGAGTCCTTTAAGAAGGTGTATGATATACTTGATGGATAGCAAAAAAGGCTCAAAACTTTGGGAACCTCCAACAGCTCAGAAAATGTTTGTGCACAGTGACAGAAGACATGGCTTTAATTTATGAAGCCATTTAATTTAAAGAAAATCTTTCAGGATTTTCACTGTTTATTGCAATGAAAACAAACAAATTGCATTTGAGATTTTGTTAGAGAATTATTCTTTTTACCTTTGCCTCTGATTCCTCCAACCTCAGAGGCAGACTTGACAAATTTTCAGCTGTGGAGCTGATTGAAAATGCCAGAAACAAAACCCTTTTCTAAAGCCATCCTAAATCAGTCACTTGATAGGAAAGGACTTGTGTATTACTGTAGTAGGCACTGCATTATTAGAAGTTGTCTGTTATGAAAAACATACTCTACATTCAAACACTATGTGATTAAGCAACTAAAGAATGAGCAAATGGTTTGGAAGAGAGGAAAAAAAATACATAAAACTGGAGTGGAATCAGTGGCACAAATCAGAACTTTGGTGGAGAAGAGAGCAAGAGAAATTGAATAGAAGGAAAGAGGAAATGAGATACAGGGAAGGGCAAGGCACAGCAAAACTAACTTACATAGTAAACAGTTCTCTCTGTCCATAAAAATCACACCAGAATTCAGATTCTTTTGAAGGATTATTTTTAGTGCACACACAATGAGTCAAACAGCAGAACCTCAAAGCTTTGTCACAGGCTGTAAATGTCCCTAAAACCCACAGAATAACAGGGACCACAGCTGGCTGTGTCAAGGGTACAGATCTGTGCCAGAGCTACCAGTATTTATTAGATAGAGGCAGCTATTAAAGTGCTCTTCGTGTCACTGAGCTCTTGCAATCTGTCACCATCATTAAAAGCCAAGGGCTACTAGTCAGTAGCCAGTGATGGGCACCACCCAGGGAAAGACCCTGCAGTTGGCAGTGCAGAGTGGCTTAACTCTAAATAAATTCTTGCTTCTTTTCCTACTCCCATGCTGCCTTTCCTACTGTGATTACACATAAATGTCCTGTCAATGCTCCCCAGGAAATGAGAGGGAGGGAAGATGCCATTTTTAACAGCTTTACTTTAGCAGTCCATCTACCCACCACTTCGGGTATCAGCAGCTCTCTACAGACTACTCCCTGAAGCATCTTGCATCTGTTTCCAGAACAAATGTAAACTGGGTTTATTCCTAGTCAGCTCATTTTCTTGTAATTACAAGCTAGATGGAAAATATAAAAAAAAACCCCAACCCCAGTATCTGCCAGTTTATCCAGACTCAGAGTTACAAGGAACTGGCTAGACTAAGGCAACCCAGGATTCTCGGTGCCATGCTGTGACCTAGTGAAGTCAGTTCTCTTTAAAGGCACTGATGCATACTATGCCAAATTTATGGCCTCAAGAAGACAATGTCTTAAGACATGCTCTCAGAATCCTCTTAAAATATGCTAAGCTCTCCTAAGATTTGCCCTTAACATTCTTTTCTGAATCATTCTTAATACTACTTTCAAGACAGGGTCAGATGGCAGAGAGGCAATAATATATAACAGTGGTAGATTACATTGTTAACAGAGATTCAGAGTTGACTTTATTCCTCTGTCCTAATGGATATAAAACTAGACAAGAATATAAAATTACAAAGCAAAAATGAGCCTTAACAAGTTGAAGGAATCACCACTAATTAAATCAAAAGTTGCCATTATATTCAAATCCTTTTACTGCAGTATGTATTACACTGAAATACGGAGCAAAATACATTTGCTAAGATGCACATTATTGATTCACATAGCAATGTTTCTGGTATTTTGTTCTTTCAACTCCTCTGATGGTGATTCCTGGTTATCATGAGCTGGCTTATAAGAACTTTAGAAAACTAAAGCCACCTTTCTTCTCAAATCAAAGAAGACTTCACATGTCATTTTCAAATCAACTTTCATGGTTGATAAATTCATGCATACAGGATGCCTATGACATGATTCAGAATGGGAGGTGCAAGCAGCATGCAGGTGACAGCTGTTAAGAGCCTAACAGGTTCCAGTGATAGTATCACTCTCATTAATTAATCTTGCATTTTCCTTCTCTGGTAGGTTTAGAAGAACCTGATCCAGTTAGATAGGTGCTGCATTTGCGATAGTGATCTGACTATGCAACACAAACATTGCTCTGCCAGACTTCCTTAACTGATACATGAATCTTGCCTTTCAGGAAGCAATTGGAAAGGAAAATTTATTCATCTACAGGTCAACAGCAAGTACAGCAGCACCTTGCAGAATTTTGTGAAGTCAAGGTAAAGCCCAGCTGTAAAATGGGATGAAAAAATCCAGTGTAACACAAGCTCACAACTTGAACGGCTTACAGTTTATTTTGAAGATTTTCCTATTCTTTCAGCTCTTCATTAGAAATTAAACAACAAATTCCATCAAGATTCCTTCTTTTTACAGTGTTCTGGTAAACATTCACCAGGAAGAAAACTGATAGATTAGCTTCTAGTTTTGTGCTCTTTTGCAAAATTTTTAAGAGATGAGATTTTACCAGTCTGAAACAGCCCTCTGTGGATTGTTGAAGTGCAAATCTGTGCTTAATCTACCACTCATGTTTCCCTATAAACCGTAATGAACTCCCAAATATCCCAGCAACAATATACTAGAATTTTTTTTGTTAGTTTTTATCTCTGTCACTGTGTACTACTACCCACTGTGGCATGTACTTGCTAAAGCCAATATGAAGATTAAAATTTCTCAAAACAAGGCCTCAAACACTTGACCTGGAAATTTAAAATTATAATGTGTAGCCACTTTTGAAATGGTTGTGTTTTGCACAATTCTAACTACTCCTTAAGAATGGAGTTCTGAAGAATTTGGTAAGCTGTTTGGAAAATATTAAGCAGTACAACAAAAATTCACCCTCTTCCAGAAGTCTCCCAGGTCACAGGCCTAAATAGAAAATGGAATTGTGTATGTGCTGCAGTTCCTTCTCTCTTCTCCTTTTTCTGTTCTTAGTAGGTACCCATTTAAAAATAAATGCAAACTTAAATCATAGTTGCATTACTTGCATTAGTCACAGATCTTGTCATCATCCCAAGTTTGTGGTATTAGAAACAAAACAGACTCAACTGTACAATATTTACCTTGTTTCTTAGCACTAATCTACTCACCACACAGAGCTCACACATAAAGGAGTACATTTAAACTCTATGTTCCTTAGGATTTGCATGCAAAGCAGCTATTCACATCTTCATAAAAACTTTAAAAAATTACCTTTTTCAACAGTTGAAGAAATGGTAACTGGAAGAGAAAAAAAAAAGTTAGGTAAATTTGTATATAATGAAATAATTGGCTACAAGTGAGATATACAAAGTTGCTGACTTGTTCCAAAGCATACTTTAGGTGTCAGGAGAGTTTCCCCACCCAACACCGGGGTAAAACAGGAGTCAATATTCCTCCTGCCAGCCTTGATGCTTGGCGAGTTACTGGAAGAGCTGAAGGGATGCAGTTCCCTGGGCTAATGAAGCGAGCACACTCCACAGACAATAATTAGTCAGAATTTATGCCCATTCCCCTTCCTATATGCACCTAACTCATTTTTCTGAGTCAACAGCTAGGCCAACAGGTGTACCACTGGAAAGCAGAAAACAAAATTAAAAGTTCTTACTTTTCCTGTGAAACTGTTACTCTCAACTTTCTTCCTTAAGTTTTCCTCCCCCCCCCACTTCTCTCTTCCTGTCACATACTATTTTTTGCCTTTTTTCCCCCCTGACCTGAATTCTTCATACATAGTTAAAATCTCTCCACCTCCTCATCTCCTTTTACGCCAACAGCAAATTCCATTGTTCAAATCTACCTTGTACACTGCCTGACTAGTACATCTTCCTGCCCTCAGGCTTCTCCAAAACCTTCACACTCAGTTTATCGGTTCAGGGATGATGCTGAACAGAGAGCTGCTGGACTTGTTGGTTGCTGTGTTCATATCACTCCCCTTGCTGGATTTCTTCCTTGGACACTGAATTACTGAAATTCACTTAGGAAAGGATCCTTCCTGACTCCATCTTAAAGCTTCTGGTCACCAGTATGAGCAAAATCCTAACAGGGCACACTGTGCCTCCTGCAGTTTAGCTCACTACATATTTCTTCCCCTCTCCCAGCTCTGACATTTCTACTGTCATTAACTTGTGCAACAATTCAAAAAAGCTTTTTCCAGATGCACACTAGACTGTTACATCTGCAGGGCTTGAGTATGCATTGCAGACTTCTTTCTGAAGGGCAGCTTTGTTACAGAGGTGGCATTTGTCACTTCTGAAGGGCAGCTTGTTACAGAGGTGGCATTTGTCACTTAGCTGTAGATACCTACAGGGAAAGGGTCTATGACTGCATTATGCACCTGTGCCTCTTTTCATGGCCAGCAAGAGGCATAATGACATGATACCTCAGTGTATAGATGATCCCTTTTTGTTCAAGCATGTTTTTGGGTTTTTTCCTTCTTTCTTGCCCGCATACCTTTCCATTGAATATCCACCCTCTGTACACAGAAGCCTCTGCAAAGTTAATGGAAAAGGTTCTGATTCCTTCCATCTAAAGGAGGAAGAAATTACCATTTGGGATAGAAAAATGCTGCCTTCAAACTCAAGGAGGTCAATCCTAAAGAACAGCTTCATTTCACATTAGTTATGCATACTTGCACAGCCTGCTCCCATGTTTCTGCCTGAAACTCCACTGCATGCTTCAGAAGCCAAATAATTTTTAAAGCAAATCCTGTGAGTGTTTTTGCTTAAAATTTTACCAATGTGTTATTGCTCCAGTTAAAATGTTTTCAACAATGCAAGGAGAAGATAAAAGTTATTTTAAAAGTCAGAGGTAAAATAAGCTTGCAAAGTATGTTTGTTTAACTTAAAAAAATACTAAAATTACTTTAGATTTAGCTTTATCCTTGGCTCCTCACATCTTAAGTAAACACCTTTGCACACATTCATTCATAAACATCTAATTCCTTGGACAAGAAATATAAAAAGTTCTTAATTATCCTCTGTTGGGGGTGGGAGAACATAGTTATCTATAAAACTTCAGGATATCTGGATATAATTGTCATTAAAGTACTCCTTAATTTGTAGCCTAATTTCTGCTCTCAGCATGAAACAAAGCTGTGAGCCAAATCTGATGTTTGAAGACTCAAAATAATGAACAGGTTTTGCATGCAAAACCAAGGAAAAAAACAAGATAGTATTTTATCACGTGGGACTTCATCAAAAAGATCCCTAAATAACCTTCAAAAAATTAATTAAGCTTCACAGCACCAGGGAGATAATTTCTCTTTCATACATAGGTCCCTTAGGTTAGAATGCAGTTATTAGACTGTGTAGAACAATTTTCATTTGAGAAACTCCTGCAGTTTGAGGTAAAAGCCAACATGGAAATGCTTGTGATTTTCATCCTGCCTTAATATCCTCCAATGAAATAAAACATGTCCTGTTCTCTTCTGTCTCAGAGGCTCATGCAAGTTAATGTTACTGTTTCAATCCTTTTCACAGTTCTAATGTCCATTAGCAAGTAGATTTAATGAACAGCAACTCTACTAGTCCAAATCCACTCAGCAGATGGCACATGAACAGCTTTAGGATCTTTATACTACAAAGCAAAGCCTTTCTTCACATAAGTTAACAGTCAATCTTTATGTAAAAAAGACTTTTAAGTATTTGTTAGGCCAGCCATCTAACAAGAAGCTCTGTACCATGGTGAAATCAATTCTTGCTTTTGAGCTCTACATCAGGGGAAAACACCTCACAGAACATGACATTGCCATTGTGGGCCCCATCCCTGGCCTGTAGTTACAAGTTTGCTCCCTATCACTTTTCTCCTTTGCTGCTTGTGATGTTTAGATGGCTGCCAGCTTCTGCTAAATTAGTGCCACTTTCACTTCAAACGTTTTTGAAATACGGTTTCTTGTTAGGGACATGGGATGGGGGAAAAATCCCAAGGCAGCACTGCCTTTTCACTTACTGATTTTTTCAAAAACAAAATAAATACTGCTTATGATTTATATGTTAACCTCAGGTTGCAACAGCACTATACACTAGATAGATGCATCAGCCAAAGTTAGTGCCTTAAGCACTGCAATCAACACAAACTGCCCATGATTCACAAACATAAGTGGTGTAAAACAGCTGCTCTTTTGAAGATTTTGAAATATATTGCCATATCAGTCTATTGCTCAGCTATAAAAGGAAAAATATTCTTTGGGTTTGCTTCTTAGCATTAAGTTCCTGGTTTTGTGAGAAGACTTATGAAGTTGTAGAAAGATATTGCCAGGGAAGGATGAAACGTGACCAGACAGTGAAAGCTGCAGTTTACTTCAATGCAAAGAGCTCAGAAGCAGGCACTTGAACACTCAGGCAAATGGAGTTTTCCCTATGGCCTCAGAATTTCAAAGGATTCAACCTCTCAGTGCTACAGCACCAGGGGAGTTGAACAAATTGGACAAATCTTGTCTGTCTGACTGCAGCACAGAGCTTTATCTTGGCTATCTCAGGGTTTCCAAAATCCTTCTAAGGAAGGAGTGCAGCAAACCTCCTTGTAAAGAGAGGTAGACAGGCCTACACTGAATTTCATGCTGCTGCAGCTTGCTCAAAAATGTACAGGTGCAACACGTTGTCAGCTGGTCCATTGAGCACCTTACACACTGGACTTCCCAACATTTTGGGGTCCCTCCAGGATGAAGCACACAATTTGAAGTATGCGGAATCCCTTTCTATAGAATACTACCTCTAAAATACACCATACAGCCTATATTAGGCTGAATTCAAATGTACTTTATAACTCTGTCCACTAAGGGGACAAGCACAAATTGCACATTTGACTTTCACAGAGGAAAAAGTTGTCTTAGTTTTGATTTAGACACCTAGCATCACCCCTGGCAACAAAGATACTCTTTCCTTTATGACCCCAGTGGTTGGTGACACTTTCCTAGATACTCTTCCTCACATTGTTGTCTGTTATCTTTCATCTCACCTAAGTCACAAGAATGAAAGAGGCAGGAGCCTACAGCTTTATCACAGGAAACAATCCTGCAGACACAGGGACATCATTAGCTGTGTAACAAATGAAACTGGGGGAAAATGTCACTTGTTGGAAGCATTCCTCTTGGAGTGTGAAGTGATAGAAATGTCAACTTCAGAAAGCTTTGGAGCACTTTTTAAGCTGCTTCAAGGAAACCTCTCAGAATATCTCATCTCTAAAGGAAAAGTGTTAGGGAGCTGGTTTGCTTTTAGTTTCAGGCTTATTTTCAGGGTTGCTATGACGTGTTCATGCATCTTCCAACTTACTGCGTAATAGGAAAAAACCAAATCTCTCTATTCTGAGGCAAAGAGGTGCCATGTACTCCCAAGACCTTGCAAGAGGCATGCTAAAAGACATTTGTCTTCAAGCTTGGAATAAACTCTCCCCTCCCCAGTCACATTTTCCTACTCCCCTAAAAGGCATGTTCCAACCATAGCTAGATAAGTTTCTTGCAGAGGAAGAAAATCAACTCCAGCCAATATAGAAGTATAGCAAAGGACAAGAACTGATCTTGTTACTGAAGTGCTATGCTTATTTCCACATCCACGCCCACGACAGCTCTGAGCAGGAGTCACACTTCGGTTATTCCAGCCATTCCACAAATTTCAAAGTAACATTCACATTTTGGCTGGCATTCCTTAAGGGTGGGAAGAAGTAGAGATAAAAGTGCAATTGCATCCCTTCACTAGTTGCACAGCCTTAGCTTTTCTCAGCTTTTCATGAAAAGAGGTACAAACAAATAACTAAACATACCTATACTTACCCATGCACATTTATACACACAGACTCATATATTTCCAGAAGTTACCAGTACTGAAATTCAACAGAAACCCCTGCAGGCACTGCCCTGTCTGCAAAGGCAAGCACCACTGACATCATCTCATTGTTTAATTTGTTCAGAAAATGGCATTTTATTGAAAGTGTAACTTGGATTTATGGTTACATAATTTCCATTTGCAAAAGCAGACCCTAATCAGTTACAAGAAGCTGACAGAAACACTATTTACTGATACAAGCAGGACAATGAGTAAATTTCCATAAGCAAATACTCATTTGGCTTCTGTTACAGGGCAGCAACAGAACATGAAGACCTTAGCACTTCTCCACTGTTCTCTAAAAGCCTTAATTCTGTGACCTTCCCACACTGAGATATTTCTTATTTCCCAGCTGGCAGACACACACTAGGTGCTCTCCTCCCTTAACAGCCCAGAGTTGTTTTAGAAAAATGATTCAAGATG